GTTGTGAGTTGCAGAGTGATATAGATGCTGGCTGTAAGGATTTGTGTATAGCTAAGTGCAGTACTTGAAGATAAGGCTCATCTTTTAACCATCTGGGAAACTTGAGTTTATGTCCAGCCTGCTATTGAAACCAAGCCTCTGTCTTTTTCTATAGATAGCCTATTGAATCACATGTTGCAGTATGCCTTGCCCAGTCTCTGTTCCTCAGTCTTACCTCTGTCAGTGGTACTGAGGTGAATGTCTTGTGAGGTGAAGAAGCAGGGATGCCCTCCCAGCAATGCAAACCCTCCATTCACAAAAGTAACAAATACAGCTATTAGGAAGTGCACTCTGAACTTTATACATCCTCTGTGGCTTTTACAATTACATTTAGAGTATAAAAGATGATCTAAGATGTACAATGTTGTAGTTCAGGTGGGTAGCTGCGTCAGCATGCGTAGGCTGCAAAGGAACAAGTAATAGGTTTTTTCAGCATGGAATAAACCTATTAAGATGTACAATTGCTGAAAGAAGAGGAAAGTGACTCACTGTACATGAAGGCCACCAATGTACCACAGTGAAAACAAGACTCAAAGGAAGAGCTGGTAAAAAACAGTGTGGAGTTCTTTCCAACACAGTTTGTGTACTTATTAGTCATGATAAATCCAGTTCAGCACTTTCATTAAACAGTTTTAAGAAAGACGACCACTGGAGAATCTGTGCAATATATTAGGGAAAGTTAATAACCGACATCAAAATTTATCTTTCAATATTTCAGAGCTTATAAATGATGCAGATCTTAATAAATTGTTAAAAATTTTCATTTAATACAACCAATCAAAGGAACCTGGCCATAGCAACAAAACGTTTAGTATTTGTACAAGTTTAACAATATTTCAATTATTAATTTATTCAAGCCATTTTTTACACTGTAAAAATTCCAAGACTCCAGGTGAAATGGTTATCACGATAATAATATACAACCCGGTTTTTCATTTACTTGATTTAGAATATTTTTTTTTCAAAGCATCGATACAGAAAGCTTCAGGAATACACCTATTTTTTTTTGCTTTGTGCTTCACCTCATATTAGATGCCAGGCAATTACTTCACAGTTCAGAGGCGAGATATGAAGTTGCATGTCAGGTTTTAACTACGCTTGTAACTGGGAGGGGACTCCAGAACAGGGGAAGAATAGACAGTGAATTGTTACCAATAGCCATGTACGTGTTAATTAGGACTAAGCCATTATCTCTCAATACATAAGCCCTAGTCGGTAGACTAGTCGGTAGACTCACTCGGGAGACACAGAAAAGAAACTGGGGGAACACAGTGGCACCACTAGACCCAGGAAAGAACTCCATTGAGTAGACAGAGAGCAGTACAGGAAGGCTCTGGCATCGTCTTCTCCACCATTCCCCCCCAGAAGCTGGACTATGAGAAGTCTGGGCAGGGGAAGAGCCTAAGAACCGCATTGTTCAGGATGGCTGGGATTGAAGAGGGTGCCGAAGACCACCAAAAGCCTACACAGAATTCCAGGTCTATTCATTAGCGCTTTTGTAGTACTGCCGTTTCTCACAACTGATGCAGGACTTTCACAGTTAAAATAGAGGCTGGGAAATAATTTACGTCATATTCACAGACTAGTTATCCACACATCGGAAAGGAAATATAGACAGATCAGTGGGTTTTATGAATAAGGATTACTTAATTATAACGTGTTTGATCATTCCTGAACCATAATTGCACATGTGCTATCGCAATGGGTTTCATACATATCTCGCAGTAACATTTGCACTCAATTGTTAACAATTATATTATTTCAAATAAAAAGATTAACGAGCTGCAAGTGTAGTTCAATATACGTAAAATGTATTCATAGGGTTAAATTACAGGATCTCGAAAACTTATGTACGGTGCTAATCGCTTGAGGAAAAGTGAATGAGTAGACAATCGTATTAAACTCGCGTTCCCGTCTGCTCCTCCTCCAGCTTTCAGCGCTGACCTCTGGTTGCTAGAGGCGAATGTTTGTTTACTTCCGGGGACATCCCCGACAGACAGCCGCCTGTGCTCCGCAAGCTGGGGAGAAAAATGGCAGGGGAAGCAGAAGACGAGATCCCCGGTAAAACGCATTGCATCATTCATTTGCTTCAGTGGAGGGGAGGGGGAGACGCTGGGAAGACCTGAGCAGTAGTCGTAGCCTTTGGGTGTGATCGATGATTGCAGCAGATGTTGCCTGTCTTGCAGATCAAAAAATGCCCTGGTTTTTGTTTTGAATCAAGTAGCATATGGTTACAGAAGTCGGATCTCGTATCATTCATTTAAAATGCACGTTGTGTCACACATTAGCCGAACGACTCTGTGCACTTTTCCATTTTGGTGCTTGAACGTTGCCTCTGGTTTTGCATCGTATTGTAGAAATAACTGTATATACCAATATACTGATGTCTGAGGCTACGTATTCCAAAATTACTACAGTAAAAGTAAGATATTTTCGTTACCTCAGTGTATTAAGTACGTAGTTATGGACGACGTTTCCGTTAATGGGAAAAACGACTGTAACTGTGAATACGAATGACACAATTTCTTTCTTTACTCTTGTGTTTGTTTGCTGGTAGTTAAGTTGATTTTGGCACTAGCAAGCTACAGCGTGTTCATGTTCAATGAATTGAAAAATACATTTAAACTTAACGCTTCGAATCTCTGATAGAAGTTCTTATTGTTGTTGACATTTTGTCTTTTATACTATAGCACGTTTAATGCAGTTAGGCATATTTTTAATAATTTATTTTTGTTTTAGTTAGTTTTTTTTATTTTCCCACGTGTCGAATTTAAACATTCCTCTGTCAGTTGTCAATTACGTCTTGCTTTTGTAGTCAGCCCCATCAGTTTAAAGTAACTGATATTCGTTACAGCATCACTGTGGCAGATCTTAACATTTTTATTTTACAAATGAGGACTTGTCTTGTTTTCTGTGTATTGTCCTAAGGGTGATGAGGAAAAATGAACTTGGTTTTCTATCTAGAGACGAAATGTGTTGTACATACAATTGTAATTGTTTGTGGGGGAGGGTACTTATGTATGGGAAAACATTATAATTATATACGTTTATAACAAATCTGTATTGCTAAAAATAGGGTTGTAGTACTTTGGTGCTGAAAGCCACGTATTGTAGCATCTCTGAAGGTTTTGAAGACCAAGCTGTTGCCACAGAGTGTGGGCAAATACAATAAGCTATGAGCCTGAGAGATCAAACAACACAGTAATAAAATAGAGGAGGAAAGTGGAGACACAAAGGTAGGGAAAGATAAGACTTTACAAATGAGAAAAGATGTTACTGCCTGAGGAATAATTGCAGTGAAGATGGCCACAAGTCCAATTTCTCCTTGTACAAATGGAGGTGGTGGTGCTGGAACTGCTGACCTTTGTGCACCTATTTTACCTACATAGATACCACATTATCAGAGCAACAACATAGAAAAAGATGTGTTACAGATATAGAAGCTGTCAGAAGTACAGACAGCCCTCCGCAATGCATTGCAAAACAAGTTTGCTCCACATTGGAACCCCGGAAGCAGATCATCAAGACTAAGAAACTCGGGGATCGGCTCCAGGACACCACCACAGATAAGGAAGTCCAGACAGAAACGGCAGTTTCGTTCAGCTCAGTGATTTGCTAATCTTAAGCAATGAGAGCAATGAACGATACTCCTGAAGCTACTGTAGATCAGCAGAGGCGGCACAGCTGGCAGATCCCTGGCGAATAAACTCCACGTTTTGATTTTTTTGTTTCTAAATTCTACAATTCTGACATTCAGTGTTATCTGGGAATGTGTATGAGACTTATTCGTTCTCTTTGTTTATGTAATCTTTCTCCTGAAAAGGCGGTTTTCTGGAGGTGCCTGAGTTCAAGGCTACAGACTACCATTCAGAGAGGATAACTGAATACATGCTTCTCCAATTTACTATCTTGTTATATCTCTTTTGTTGAAAGAAGACAACAGTGATACTGTACCTCACTATGTAAGAACACATGCTAAGGTGGTGAGATGGGAGATACTTTGATATGAACTTTTAGATTCTCCACAATTGAATTCCACAAAGAAAATATAATGTTGTTTTAAAAAAAAAATCTTAACACCTGGACTGTACTTCATAGTACATGAACTGGTGAGCCACTCGGCTTAACAGAAAATGTTAAATTAAAATAGATTTTTCTTCTTTGTAACATATTTGTGAACATGTTAGAGATCACCTTTGTTTTTGGTTCTGGCAGAATGCTTTCATGGTCTAGTTTTCATCAATGATTATTAACTTTGTATTTGTCTAATTTCTCAATTTCATCATCTTTTTTGGGTTAAACATGCCATGTTTTGAAATCAACACTTTGTTAAAAGTCTCCTACATCTGACATTAGATTATGTGACTGGGGCAAATAACTCTTCTCTTGCAGGAAACTGTAGCATATGTTTAAAAACAAATTCAGATCTCTGGAAAAACAATAACCATATTAATGTCAATACAGCCTGAAAAAAGAGAAAATGAAACTAAGGCTTAAATTTTGCTGGCATCACTCACTGTTTTGAATGATTAGGAACTGTTTTTTTAGAGGAATTTGACACTGCAAAAAATACTTTAATAATTTTCTTTAAATAATTAAAAAATAATTAAAGAACAAATCTGGAGATGCCCTTGGATAGAACTTTATTAAGTCTGTGTAGTCATAATTAATTAGTCATGTTTAAATATATTAGAAATTTAGCTTAAAAAGGCCTTTGATATTAATTAAAAATTAGTGTTTGTTTTTTCAGTACTTGAAAATTAAAATATTTGTTAAACAATTTAACATGGGCAGCTATTGTCTTTATAGGATGGATGTCAGACCAAAAGAATGTTTTAAATAGGTGAAAAACCATGCGCTGTAGTTTTCATCTTTTGCACATCGACAGCTGCTGTCTCGTTGTTTTTCTCTGCAGAATCGGGAGCCGTCTTCACCTTTGGGAAGAGCAAGTTTGCAGACAACGTCCCTAGCAAGTTTTGGCTGAAAAACGATAAGGCTAAGCAAATCTCGTGTGGGGATGAGCATACCGCGCTGATAACAGGTAATCCTGACTACTGGATTTTTGACTGGGTGGGAAAGTAATATAGTGAATAATCGCCATTGAATCTTGAATGTATGACAGTTCAATGCTGAGTGATTACAGAAGGTCTTGGGGTAAGTCTTGTTCATTCTTGTTTATATGGGGAGCAAAGGCATTCGTACAGTACAGGTACATTACATTGCTTATTTCTACTCTTCAGGATCAGCATAGTAAAAAGTTTGAGAGAATAATGGGAAATGACAAGAGGCAGATGGGAAAACCAAAAAGAGTATAGTTTGTTTAATCTCCATGAGATAACCATATTTGTACTGATAGTGGTGTATGAATATATTTAGCCAGGGAAGCATGGTTAGAAGCAACAGGACCCCCTTGGAAATGAGGTGATGCATCTCAAGGAGTTTTATTCTGTCAGTGAAGTTTAGAATGTGAAAAGCATGAAAAGACAGCAGTGTGGGGATAGTGGTCTGGGCTCTGGACTTATGGGTTAAAATCCCTGGTGAGGGGCTACTGCTGTAGCTTTGAGGGTCCTTTTCAAAGATTGTTCTAAGAAAATGTCCAATTGTATAATTATACACGTGAGCTTATTTGGATAAAAAAAGCGAATTTAATAATAATAAATGAGAAGTCTTGTTACAAAGCTAGGTTTAGCTGACAAGGAGCAGGAGTTCTCCGTGTGGGACGTGTGTATATTGCATATATTAACAAGCCCAGATGAGCATACCCTGAGGGTTGTTTAGGAGCTGGATCATTAATATGGTATTATTGATAAGATATAATCGGTGAGATAAAGGACTGAATTATGTTCATGTTTACATTTTGCAATGTGATATTCTTATACTTTTATTGATGATATAGCAGTGTACTGTATGTACTGTGTGTAGCGATTAGCAAATGCATTCCCTGTGTGTATCACTAGTTTATGTAAGATTATTTTATGACATTCCCATTTCTGTCACTGCCAGCACACCTAAGCATGTTCACAATTGTCTAATGATTTTAAAGCATTAATTACAAGGAGTGCTTGCTTTGAAGGGCTATGACAAGGTAATTTTGTTGGAGTCCACTGTTTTATTGGAGATGAGATGCTTTTCGTGGTCTGCAGTCATAAGACAAAGAAGTGGGAGTTGACGTTTTCTGTATTTTCTGTGAAGTACTCTTACTGTATGAGCTATTGTATGCTCACATAGAGTAAGAGTGCTCTGACCAGATGTAATTTGAGATGCATTATCTTTGCCGTTAGTATGAGTGAGTAGAAAGTGATGAGAAAACCAAATGCCTCCTGAGCAGCTGCATCAAGGAGATGAGGCTGTCAGTCTGTAGCTAATATGCCTCTTGGGAAGCCAGTCTGCTGCTGTTACCGTCTTTCTCTGTTGCTGCTCAATGTATCTTTTTAATCCCCTAGAAAATGGCAAGCTGTACATGTTTGGCAGCAATAATTGGGGCCAGCTGGGGCTCGGAACAAAGAGCACAGTGAACAAACCCACTTGTGTGAAAGGTTAGTCATTCCACCCATTGTTTCCTCTTCGTGTCTGTAACAAGTGTACACTAGCTAACTGCGTGCAGAGTGCAGTATTGTTTTGCTAGCAATTAAGGCTGCCACCTTGGCTTTTAATCTTGTCAGAAAGTAGTCTGTTTGGCACTCAAGGGCTGAAGTGAGGTAGGAGGCAAAGATGATTCTAGGACAGGGCAAAATCACTCTACTTTCTAAGGTTGAAATACAGCCAGAACTCAGAACATCGTGATAACACTGTGTCTGCTGAGTGAAAAAGTTCAAATAAAACACAATCCCTTAAGAGTCTTAAGATTGTATATACTGTATATTCAGGAGAATGTTTTTTAAATACTGTACATAAAGGTAGATTTGGGTAATGGATTTAAAACTTGCAAACAGCTGCATTATTTATCCAAAATGGCTTTTCATCTACATAAAGATATCTATTAGTTTAAGGAAAAATAAATGCTTATAAATATATTATATATAAGGCTCTGGGCCACAGGCCGAGCTCTATGGCTCTGACATACCTAATTCAAGTTTGAGCCATGTCTCTATCAAGTCTGTGTAGTCACACATCAGTTGTGAGAACGAGGTTTCCCTATGTGTCTGCGTACATCTATTAGAGTGCCTCCGGTGGCAGGGATCGGAATAGCTCAGCCAGGGCTCTCCGCTGTGGGCAGAACAGTACATGTGGTGACTTCCCAGGTGCCTGCAGGCTTGCAGTGACATCAGCAAGAGGCATGCCTCTTTTCAATTGTTACGTCCTCTCCTGCAAGGAACTGTGGTACTTGCAGTGTGTCAGAAGGCGAATTTGTGGAAAGTTTGGAATAAAGGAACAAGTAATAGGTTTATTCCATGCTGAAAAAAAGAAGAAAGAACACAACATTTCGGCCGTGGAGCCTTCTTCAGGTGTCAGTTTGGAATATGCTTTGTAAGGCTCTGATGTGGATGTGTTACAGTACTGTCCTCCTTCTCCCCATGAGTATTTTTGCATGCTCTATGAAGAAAAAGATAGAGCTAACAGAACACAAAACCCTAATTACATCCATGTGAGAATGTGAAATACTCAGCCCTTCACAAGTTATTCAATAGTTTGGTTCTACCCACTGTGGCTATTTACATAGATTGGAGGTTATATAGTGGCCTCTAGTGGCAGATCATTTGTAACTGCAACCCTTTCTTAAAGTGGTCTGCCACAACTATGGTATATACAGCATTTAAAAATGAAAATTGTCTAGTTTTGAAGTTTTTCTTTTGATAATATTTTTGTTGTTTTATTCAAGCTTTAAAGTCAGAAAAGGTGAAGCTTGCAGCATGTGGAAGAAACCACACCATAGTTTACACAGGTAAGTCCTTCTGAGCAAATTTCATGGAAAAAAACCCCAAGAATTTTCTTACATACAGTTGAAACGCTGAGGTTAATATATGTATGTTACAATATATAAGTTAAGAATATGGAAATAATCCATGGAAATGATCCTCATATAGAAATAATCCTCAAGGCCATGAATGTAAACCTCAGAGCCATATTTGTCTTGCTAGAAATTACAATATGTAGAGAAAGGAAAAAAGGTCCTGCTGTTTATGGTCCCACAATGCTTCAGGGGCCAGCAACATTTGGCCTCAGAATCACACGCAGCCCTTTGGCTAGTGAATCTTTACAGTAAAATAAGGTAACTGCTGTACCCAGATGTTCACAATCAGACATTTATCATTAAATACTATCAGTTTGAAAACCGTAGGCTACTGGTCCCTAAACACTCTGAAATGCCAACTGCAGATGGGAATCCATCCCATCCATTTTCACATTCCAGGCCAGTTCCGCTCTCTGCATTGCATGAATTTTATCATGTTTGGTTTGAGTTGAAGCTGTTTCATGCTGTGTGCAATGCAGATTAGCTTCACTAAAAACAAGCAATTTTTTAATGTTTTTTTTTTTAAATTGATAGGTTATTTTTCTTAAGTGTGGTCAATATATAACACCATCTATAGAAAGTGTTGACATTAATAAATATCCAACTTGTGCAGCACTCAAAATACTTGGTTATTGAAGAAAATTTAAAAAATGACTTATCGTTTGGCTTGCCAATCCCTGGACTACTGGGCACAATTCAACCTGCTATTAATTCTGTCCATTATTTGTTTTAAGTCTTCTGTATTGCAGAAGTTCATCACCCTGGCATTGTTAATGGTCTGTTAACGGCCTGTTGTTAAAGTATGCTTCAAAGGTAGAAGTAAAGGTTTATTCCATGCTGAAAAGAGAAGATAAGGTTTCGGCTGTGGAGCCTTCTTCAGGTGTCATACAGCCTCCTTCAGGTGTTTCTTTTCTTCTCTTTTCAGTATGGAATAAGCCTTACTTGAACTAAGTACGCTTCATACCTAATAATTCCATCACTCACGGCTTCCCGGATGTTTCTTTCTGTATTGTTCTGCTGGTGCCTCTGTTTTCAGCCCAAGGGAAATTGTATTCTACTGGGGGCAATAATGAAGGCCAGCTGGGTCTGGGCGACTTTGAGGAGAGAACAACGTTCCACCAGCTGGACTTCTTCAACACCGAGACTCGCGTTAAGATGCTGGCAGCGGGGTCCAACATGTCCGCCGCGCTCACAGGTAAGACCGCCCCAGGTGAATAAAGTGGGCTCTGCTTCTGGCCGGATTGTCAGGGCAGCATCTGACGAGGTATTTGGTGGGCAAGATTCCCCAGGATATGGATTAGGTCTTCACCAGGTAACTAGGTACAAAAACACTTGTCAGAACTGAGGTTCAAGGTTTTTAAAGCTGCGTTTTTATGTCTTTCAAGGTGTAAAGTTAAATGGATTTTACAAAGTGCATAGCAATGTGTATATGACACAGTGTTGACTATAAACACAGTAAGGAAGACATCTGTTGTAATATTACAGTATTTTATTTAGCTTGCTAAAAGCACAAATGGACGAATGGAACTCTTCTGGGATAAGATCTGATTCTTTGACTTGATAAGCCCAAAATAATTATTCACAGCATCTCATTTAGAAAGCAGTTAGTTTGTGGTGTGTTTATTCCAGGGCTCTTTTTGTCATTCCAGAGGAAGGGAAGCTCTTCATGTGGGGAGACAACTCTGAAGGTCAGATTGGACTGGCCAACAAAAACGGTGCATGTGTCCCTCAGGAAGTGAGTGTGGGGAAGCCAGTCGTTTGGGTGTCCTGCGGATATTATCACTCTGCTCTCGTGACAGGTGGGGTGTCAGTTTTTCTTTTTATTACCCTCAACAGGAGTATTTCTGTACTTTATGTCCACTCAGTACTAAAATAAGACTATACCATGTTTCGATTCAGTGTACTTAATCAGACATGTGACCTGTGTGTGCCCATTTGTTTTTTCACATTTTCTGACCTATTTTGTGTATTCTCACAGAGTTCAGTTTCTCTCTTTTATTCCAAACATGCATAGAACTGTAGAAAGCACCATGTCATAATTAAAGGGATGATTTCTGTAAACACTGGAGTCCATGCATCAATATATTGGGAACTTGTTTTTCAGTGAATGGATACAATCTAGTTTGAAGCAGGTTGACAATTTGAAGCAAAGGATGTGTACAGGCACTTTGATTTTAGCTGAGTGATCAAATAGGGTAGTTCTCAGATCTTTAAACAGCCTTCCTCAGACTCTACGAGAGACAAATTATTTGACTCTCTTCAGATCCAAACTTAATAATTGCCCTTTTACCAGGGCCTATATCTTATTGTCCTACATTCTTGCTTTTTAAACTTGTATACTCATGTATTTTTTGTTGTACCCCTTATTGTACTTTTTTTGCCTTTTGCCTTATCTCTATGTACAGCATCCTTGGGTTTGGAAAAGCACTTTATAAATCGGTTGTTGTTGTTGTTGTTGTTGTTGTTATTATTAAAGGAAACTACATAACCAGGTAACCAATCAGTACACCTCTAGACTGAGCCTAAAGACTTGGTGCTGTGTTCCTTTCTGAAAGAGAGATATGCTGAACGCATAGTGAATTGACGTTTGGACCTGTTACTCCATTGCAGTTATTTTGTGTTCCATTGCAGCCGATGGGCAGCTGTTCACATTCGGCGAGTCTGACCATGGAAAGCTGGGGCTGCCCCCACAGCACTTAAACAACACCAGGGTTCCCCAGTTGGTGCAGGGGATACCAGGCAGGGTCACCCAGGTGGCCTGTGGTGGGGGCCATACTGTAATCCTGACAGGTAGGAGCCCTGTTCACTCCACTCACCTGCTGAGAATTCAAGTGGGATTTTCTCTGTGTTTTCTCTTGCCATGGAACAGTGACATACCTGAAAGTCACTGTAAGCTGAGAGGCTGAGACAACTCTCAGAAGTAAAAGCTGGAAATGGCACTGTGTCATTAGAGACATATGAACATAAGGAATGTTGTTGAATACGACACAAATTGTGTTTTTAATCCTTTTGTATTTTCACCCAGCCTGGAATAACTGATTGTTTAAGACTCCGCTTTCTAGTAATGGCAGCTGTACCTGCATGGAGAGAATGAGAACTGTCAAATGTGCTTCTGTGGCATGCCCACTTATCAGAGCCCTTCATCCCTAGGCTGAAGTCCTAGAACTGAGACCTTTTAGTCTTGAATGGAGAAGACTACAAGGAGATTGGATAAAAGTATTGACATTAATCAAAGGCATTGACAAAGTCAACCCAGTGGACCTCTTTAGAATAGGGACCTAGACTTGAACCAGTGTCACACGGGCCATAGTACTCTGATAGGATATACAGTATCAGTATAAAGGTTGCTGGGCTACGTTTTTGCACAAAGAGCTTGTAGTGCATTTTAACTTAACTTACTGTACATGGTGCCTGAAATGTGTTAGTTAAGCAGTTTTTCTTTTTCTTTTCATCTCTGAAAGGAATACTATTACTGATGTGAACTACTGAAGTTGAAATCATGAAGGCACTGTGATTTGCAGGCTAAAGTGATATCTCATTTTTGTTTTCCTTTTAAGATGGCGACTTGTACACATTCGGGCTGGGCCAGTTTGGACAGCTGGGACACGGGACCTTTACCTTTGAGACCTCTGTCCCCAGAGCTGTAGAGTACTTCAGGGAAAGGAAAGTCCGCCTGGTGGTGTGTGGGGAAAACCACACAGCAGTCATAACTGGTAAGACATCTGATAGAGACAAGACAGTAGGGTGTCTTAGTTTGAGTTTTTCCTAAGGTAACCAGCAGAGTGTAGCAGGCTTGTCCATTCCGCTCCTCCGGTTCACCCAGTCCTATTTTCCTCCTACCCTGACGGACAGCCAGTCTGAAATCATTAAACCTCTTTAAGAAAGCTGGAAGTTTAAGTTGATTTCACATTCCAGTATCCTTGAGGTACATAAAAGACTTTGCAGTGTGCTTTCGTAAATCTGACAGGTTGAGTATGAGCATACTGTACCTATCTATTCACATTTATAATAATTTAATAATAAAAAAGCATTAAATTAACCTAACTTTGGATTACAGTAAGGAGTAGATGTACAGTACCATATACACAGAATCTACAGTATCCAGACACTTGCAGAGTTTTCACTGTCATGACACTTTGAAGAAGCGGTTAACATTTATTATATACAACCTACTCCACATGTCTAAAGCAAAAAACGAACAAGAAGTAAACAATTAATATATAAAAAACATACTGTATATTCATAATTGCTGAAGTATTCAAACCCTTTGCAAATGTGACAAATGTATGCACAACATTACCTTAACATACCATACAATTTGTTAGGTTGTGGCCCAGTAGTGGTTAGCATTGGTGCCTTGCAGCACTGGGGCCCTAGGTTCAATTCCAGGCCTGGGGTGCTATCTGCATGAAGTGCTATCTCTGTTTTCCTCCAAGTGCTCCAGTTTCCTCCCACAAGCTTAAATTCTGGTACGTAAATTGGCTTCTGGAAATATTGCCCCTGACATGAGGTTGTGCGTGACTGTGTTTGTATCTGTGTATGTTCTGGATAGATTCCCCCCACCCCAGCCCTGAGCTGGATGAAGTGGTTAGAAAATGGATGGATGGATAATTGCCTATAACTAGGAATTAATAATAATAGTGCGATAATAGTGGTTTCATGGTTCATGATTTCATAATGAATACATTATCTCTGTAAAGTTCCTCAGTCAGGTAGTAAATTCCAAGCAAAGGTTCAACCATGAAGACAAAGGAGCTTTGACAATAACTCAGAGATAAAACTATATAAAGGCACAGCTGAGGAGAAGGCTGTAAAGTATTTGCAATCCCCTTAATTGCTCTTAGGTCACGGTGAAGCTAATCATAAAGAGGAGGAAGACATTCAGACACTGCCTAAATCAGGCTATTCCTTCCAGACAAGGAGGAAACTGGTTAGGAATGCCACTGTCTTGCCAATGGCAATGCTGAAAGAGTTAAGAGTTTTGTGGTCACTCCACAGAAGGGTCTTGTGTGAAACTGAAAACAAAAATCTCAAATCCCACTTGGGGTTTGCAAAAAAATCAAGTGAGTTGATACTGCAAACATGTGGCAAAGGTTTTGTGGTCAAACAATTCATAATTTGAACTTTTTGATCTAAATGTAAAGCGTTTCAGCTGACTCAGCATAGAGCATTACTCAGTTAACCCACCCTTACTGTCAGGCTTGGTGGTTCAGCATTATTTTATAGTTCATCTCATCAGCGGGGACTGGGAAACATGTTAAGATTGATGGGAACATAGATGAAGCCACATACTGACAAAGATGTGCTTCAGACTTAAAAGTGGGAGGAAAATTCAATTTTCATTAGGAGAGTGGTGTAAAAATAATAAAGTGAATATCTTTGAGCTGCCCTCTTTAATTCCTCACTTGAATCCAATTCATAATCTGTGAAAAGACTTGAAGACCGTTGTCCATAAGCAATCCTCTCAGAGGTTTTCTGTCAGAGCATTCAGGTTTTGACACAAATATCAAGTTTAAAGATGTGTGTATGCATCCTTTTGGAATTTTACAAAATGGGACACCATAGTAAGGGGTCTGAAGGCTTTTTGCAAGGCACTCTAACTTAATATGATTTCACAAAACCAATACAATAAAGCTAACTTTAAGTGATAGCAATTAGTGAATATACTGTACATGCTGTGTAGACAAGGTTAGATTTCATGTACGTACTTGTTGATTTGTGACCGAGATATGTTTTTTTCTAACACTAGGGAATGGTCTTCTTTATACGTTTGGAGATGGACGACATGGGAAACTGGGACTGGGGGAGGAGAATTTTACCAACCAGTTCAAGCCAACTCTTTGCACTCGGTTCCTCAAGTACCTAGTGCAGTCTGTAAGCACAAGCTCTTCCTATCAGATTGCCATCAGTATTAATTTAGTCTTATGAACTGATGTCTTATTTTTAGTGCCCATCCCATAATTTGGAATGATCCATATGTGCTCAAACTTCTCCAAAGTGGATTGACAATTTATAATGTGACATTTATATTAATCCAGATTCTGCTTTCCTTTTCTGAGTGTATGGTGTTAAGAACAGAAACGAATAGTACAAGTACATTTTTATGGTTTCACCTGCATAGTCACTTTTTTTCATATTGTATAAATTATAGTTTACATGTTGGCTAAGCTGCGCCAGTGTTCAATGTCAATGTGCCAGTGTTCAAGATCAGTGTTAGTGAAGGAGAAAGCTGGTTTAGACTCATGCCACACAGAGTTGCTTGTCTTGTAGTCTGCGAGCATCATGTTCTTTTGTCTCCTTTGGAATGGACTGGGACACTAGGCTCAGACTTTATGTTTTGAAAGTCTATGAAGGAGTTGCATTAGACTCATCCAGTTGTCTTGGTACCTGTTTCAGAAATAACACAAGTGCTTCCAGAAATAACACAGGCTCCTACCTGTCAGGTGTCGGTTTTATGATTCAGACAACACACAGATGTGATAGACGTTTTTCAGTGGCTGTGGATGTCAGTGCACATTGTGGAATCATTCTTGTGTTTAAGGTGTCCTGCGGTGGATGTCATATGCTGGTCCTCGCTGTTCCCAGACCTAAGGGCTCAGAGCCTGTCATCCTTCAGGAGGATGACTTGAATGAGAACTACCTGGAAAAATCCTATACAGAGCTCCTAGGGGACACCTCTGCTTCTGGCACTTTCAGGAGGACCCTATCAGCACGTGTCAGGCGTAGAGAAAGGGTGTGTAATCCTAGCACTTGTTATCTGAGTGTTTTCCTGTTTTTTATAATCAACTGCTGCTTTGTATATAAGATTGTAAATTTGCTCTGAATTGATATATGTTCAAAGTTCAGTAATAAAAATAGAAGTCAAGCTGACCCTTTCATATCTTCTCTATGTTAAAAAGGTTCATGGACACCTAGTCATAGAGAAAGCTATGGATGCTTGCTGAAAGTTCAAAACACATCACACCTGTGATCTCAAGTCACAAGACTCCATTGATTATACAGCAGTATAGAAAAATCTATCCTCTCAATAAAGAGAAGAAGAAACAAAAAACGATTACTGATCTGTCCACATAATTAGATGGAGTGTTTTTTTTTGTTTATGCAGCCTCTGAAATGATGGTCATGCCAAAGTCACGTACTGTGTTGCATTATGCACAATATATTGAAACAAAAGCATGATTTAAGAGAGTAAGATTAATCTCTTACAATGTCTTTATCTCCACTAGATGGCAATGTTATTTCATTATAGTTTGTGAAGAGTCTCAGATTATTCTCGCAGGGCTCTCTTTGTATTCCTTCTAGTTTGGGGAAAAAAAACAGGACTGGCGTTTAATTGTCTTAAGCCTTGTTGGCAAGTATTAACATGCTGACCTGAGAATATCAGACCACATCCTTGATGATCACATGTAGTTATTAATTTGTACTTTACAGATGAGAACAGATATATAGATGAAGTGCCACTTACAGATTAGGTAAAATTAGCTTGTTAATTACCTAGTCCCTCAGGTATCTGAAGAGCCACAGACATAAACTTTTCTTCCCCTGTGATACATCAATAGATTTGATGGTAGTTTCATGGAATCCACAACTACCAATCAAAGCTGTGGTCTCTAAGCTGCTCTCTGGGCAGAGAGTGCTGGGAAAGTGGCTCATGAGTGGCTCATGAGCCAAAACAATAATTTTAAGCAAAAATAAGAAGTGATGAAATCTATAAATTTATAATTAAGACCTAGAATAAAGCCAAAAGTTCAACACTGATTATCCTGTGAGGTTAGTTAATTTGTCAGCCACATGTGTTATATTTTATTACAATTGAGAGATTTTGTTCTTATGTCCTTTTGTAGGAGCGTTCTCCAGACCAGTTTGGGATAATGTTCAGGACACTGCCCCCACCGAGAGGCAATTTCCTCAACTCCTCTCTTCCTGTTCCAAGCCAAACGGTTCCAGCCAGACTTCCTAGCTTGAACCTGCCTGATTCCAGGGTGCCAAATGGAATTCACCACAAGAAGGTTGCAGAGACTTCCAACAGCTGTATGTAAATTAATACAACTTTTTTTTCCACTACTATGTAACAAACTGGTGACACACCATGAGTGGGTGACAGAATGCATGTACTGTAGCAGACAGTTTATATAATGTGGTGTTAGAATGGATCTTGCACTGAGGGAAGACAAGAACTTTGAAATTTTAATTTTTAGAGTACCAGAGCCACAGTAATACTGACATTATAATCTATGACAGACCCTATCCTCAACCAAGGGTCTGTACACCAAAAAAAAAAAAACAACACACACAAGTCCAGAAAGGCCTTTTCTGACTTTTCTAGTCAAACAGCTCTCAACATACTTACCTTAAGCACTGTGCATGTTCCCTATATACCAAGCAACTTAATTACACCCATGTGAGAATATGCAACAACAGTCTTCACCACTAGTCTAATTAATTCCCTAATTGTTACCCACTTTGGCGGCTGTCGCATCAGCCAGGTGGGTGCTACGCATTGGTGGTTGTGGAGGGGATTCTTCATTACCTGTAAAGCGCTTTTGATTGAAATGTGCAGAAAGACAAGGATGTAAGGATTATTATTACCTGGTGTGTGGCTACTTACAAGGATTGGAGGCCAAAAGTGGCAGGTCTTCATAACTGCAGTCCTGTCTTATGATGGCCCTCTGCCCATTCATTTAAATGTGGATTCTGAGAAACATCTCTAGGAACATTGTTTTCACCTTACAATTTAACGTCAGGAAATACTGGACAAGGTAAAATGGCTTTTTACATTTTTTGTGAACAACTTTGTGTTGGGGGGAAACGGGCAATATTTTAAAAGCTTCAGTTGACCCCAAAAAAGGGCTAAGTGTGCTACAAAAATCCATCCATAATAAAACAAGAATGTTTATGCTTAAATTATGGTGGGCCTTTGGCCAATCTCTTTCAGTTGGGTTTTAGTAGCTAATTGATTGAGGATAATTTCCAGCTGTTTCTTGAAATAAGACATACAGTATGTTCATCTTCAAACACATGGTGTACCTCTTGTTCTCTGTTTTAAAATTATTTGCATGTTATTCACTCAAAATCACATTACCCTGTTTTTCACACTATCAACACTAGTGTAGTCTTTCAATAACAGTGACTTATTGATTTAAATTCACACCAGCATACCGTTAATATTAATTGTTATTCCTTTCAGAGATTATATTATATTTCATGTTACATATATGTTTAGTTAAAATGCCCTACAAGTGCTTTGTAAAAACTTAGCCAAGCAGCCTACATATTAATATCCTTTTGGAGCGATATTGCTCAGATGCCACTGGTTCCAGCCTGGGTCACGTCACTAATTGACCATGACTGAGAACCCACAACCTTTTGGGTAAAGAAGTGCTTCCTGTTCTTTGTTAAATGCATCTACCACTTGTGTTTCACATGTGTCCTCTCGGCTGAGTCTAAGAAGAGTTACCAGATACTGTACATCCCAGGGAATCTCCTTTATTGACAGGCTGAAGGAACAGAATCCTCTTTTGAACGGAGAAGGTTATGAGGAGACCTGATACAGGTTTTCAAAGTCCTCAATGGTACTGGCAAAGTCAACTCAGTGGACCTCTTCGGGGAAGAATAGTGAAACACAAAGCTGAGGGCACAAGTGGAAACTATGTGTTAGTGCATTTAAAAACAAGATAACTTCTTCACCCAAAGGGTTGTGGGTGTACGGAACAAGCTAGCCAGCCATTGTTGAATGTGATACCTTGGCTCTTTTCAAGAAATGGCTGAATGAGATCTTTGGATCACTTAAGTACTACCAAAACATCTAGAAGTGCTCTTTGCTTTGTAATCTGTTATAAATGTGTTAGAAAGGCAAAAGGTATCTAAAAGGTAGCTTCTTCTGTTTCCATGATTTAAAAGGACAGGTTATGTCTTGTCCTTTCTTTTTGAATGTCAATGGTTGGAGAAAATCACAGTTTGCCAATGAGGTTCCTGATAATGGTTCCAGAAAATAATTATGTAGGTTGAGGCACTGCAGCTGTGAGAACTTCACAACCTTGGCACACGGAAACTAAGAGAAGCTTCTGCCTCTAGTGTAATCCTTTTGTAGTAGCCTGCAGCCTCTGTGTGTTATGAATGTCATCCAATTATGTAAAAAGTTCATGATGCGGACCATCTAAAAAGTTGTGTTCCTTGTATTACAGTATGTTTATTTTCTTTTTATTTGGAAAAGACAAGTCTGGTAACGCTCAGAGGTCAGAAGACAAGGGCTGGGCAGTCGAAGACCTGGATGAGAATGACAGCGTGAAAGGACTAGGGAACACCACTGACCTGCTGAATATGGTTTGTTCATTTTCCTTGTAAACTCATTTCACTTTGTTTTAGTTCACCAAACTAGGACACCAGCATTTGTATAATGTACTGGCTGAGCAAGAGACTTGTATTCACTGGAATGCTGGGCATAATATTATCATTGCCGCCTCACAGTGAGGCTCACACAGTACATGGGTGTTCTTAATGTGAAACATTTACACTGGCAAGAGTCTGTGAGCATGCTACTGTAAATACTGTATTAGATGCCAGTAAAATCCCTTCATTAAGTTTTTCCATTTTAAATTCAATTTAATGTACCTGAAGTTTTAAATAGTGTTTTGTATGCATTTTGCTCTAAGTGTAAAATCCTTGTGCCCGTCTTACATTTTGTACCTCTAGGGTTTTCTTTTTGCCATTTTGTTACAGAAATGTCAAGTGCTGATAGATCTATCACAAAGCAAAATAAAAATGTAATTGGCATAATAGCAGCCAAACCCAGAGATGTGGTTTTCTGTTACCAATTAATAAATCTAGGCGTAATCCCATCCACTGAACTTATAGATGCTGACATACAGTATAAGGTCTTAACAAGTAGGAAAGACAAAGTTCTGATATCTATGATGTAAATATTTCCACTGTAGTGAAAAACAGTGGCTGTTTTCTTTCAGAAACCTACACTGGCTTGTTGTTAAGTTTGGTTTTGTACATTGCCACACAGCCTGACATGTTTCCCAAAACACAGAATAAAAACAGCTTTACTTGAAGCTCTGTACAGTAAGTATGCATAGTGCATTTCCTCTAATGTCTTAAAAAAGTGGAAAAATCATGCACTAAATATATATAGTTGAATGCTACTGAACAGTGTAGTCTTTCAATTTGGTGTTTTTATTAACGAAGAATCACCTAAGCACACGGCAGCAATTTTGCATGGTTACTTTAGCTGTTTTTTTTTGTTTTGACAGTACTGATAGTTATCCTGTTACAATGAAACAAAACCATGGAAACACCAATGTGGCACAGCATGGCGGAACAGCAGTTAGCATTGCAGCCTCACAATACTGGGGCCCTCAGTTCAATTCCACACCCAGGGTTCTATCTGAATGTTCTACCCTGGTTTGTGTGGGTTTCCTCCAGGTGCTCTGGTTTCCTCCCAAAGTCTAGGGACATACTGGTTATTGGCTTCTGGGAAAATTGGCTCTGGTGTTTATGTGTCTGTGTTTACCCTACGATGGACTTGTCCTATCCAGGGTGTATGCTGCCTTGTGCCTGTTGCTTGCAAAGGACCTTGGAATGGATGAAAATACTAATGTAAAGTTACATAATTGTGCCTGCTCTGTACAGTAGTTCACCAGTGTTTGGAGTTCTGTAGGAGGGATGGGCAACCATTCTTCCATGCGAAAGAGTCAACTACTCCTCATTGATGTAGATAGAAAATGCTGTTCCTGGTGACACTGAAAAATATCCCATAAATGCTCTGTTGGGTTCAGATCTGGTGACTGAGGAGACCATGACATGTGGCTAACAACAGTGCTCATCAAACTGTTGGGAGACCATACATGCATTCTGGGGAGACACACCTTTCCCAGCAGAAAAGACATTTTGTAACATTGGGTAAAGATGATCACTTGGTATGTCTGATTAATGATCAGCATTGACCTTGCCTTGTAAGAGAATGTGTGCACCCAAACCATGCTAGTAAAATGCACCGCATAACAATAAGGAGCCACCAGAACTGTGGTTGTAACCGATCACTCAGGGCTATAGAGCACTGTAGGATTTTGCAAGAGGTGCACTTGTCTGTATGTCGAGAACATGTTGAAGGATGGTTCATCTGACTCTATTACATTTCTCCTCTGGTCAGCAGTATATTGCCTGAGCTCCTTACACCATTAGATTCGCAAACTTGCAATGCCAGATGTGATGAGAGGTTTGTGCACTGCAGCCCCACTATGCTATCCCTCTCTGTGGAGTTCTTGGTAGACCTTTCTCGATGAAACTGGCTGCTTGCATCCCAGGAAATGTGCTGTCAAGTGGTCTCGCTCACCTGTTTTGCCTTACACTTTGAAGTCATGCAGAGCTACTAGATGCTCAGATGTTGTCTTTCTCTTGGATTTCCATGCAGACATTACCTTGGAACTTGGTGTCCATTATTTACCGAGACGCTTCCATTTTTTATTCAGTACCATTTCCAGTTTAGTGACATGTTTTTTTTCTTGGTAGGATTAAAACAATCAACTAATTAACACTGGTTATATATACAGTAACTACTGTATGCAGGATATATTAGTTCTTTATGTTTTATTATTATTATTCTCACAACACCTACAGAGACGATCGATAGGTGGCACTTATACTGAGTTAGATGTTAGTAAAACGATTGCTTCATTCAATTTGTTTCCCTACTGTAGATCTTTGGACTAATGTAACCAAAGGGACATTTTGGTAGATGAAAATAAAAATAACAGTATAACATCTCTGAATGTCATAAGTGATATTAATAGATGAATATAAATATATTATACAGACTATACAGTATACTATATAGTTGGTAGTGTAATAAAAACATAGGGTACACAACAGTATTCCATCTTCTTCATAAACATTTTCTGCATCAAAGTCTAATTTGTTCACTTGCTGTGGTTATTTTGGAAAAGTTTTGATGTTCTCATTCTAACTATATAAAGTTTATATACTTTATATAAAGTTTTATAAAACACTGTAATGTTTGAGCTGTTTCTGTGAATGTATGTTGGCGTTATTGTTGTAAAAAATTGTAGTACTTTTTTAATCCACTTAATACAGAATATTAATGTTGAATCATAACTAACAAAACGAAATTTTGATAGCTTAAAATAAAAATAGTTTTTGAACGTCATTAACAATATAAATTTATGGATATAAATATTGAGGAAACCCATCTCTTGGATATTACTAAGGAGTTATTTTTCTTTTCTCAATAATGAATCATGTGCATTCTCATATCAGGCATGGATAATGGAAAAGCCAGTGTCATGTTTTTCGTAACCATGTTATGTTTTCATTATGTGACAAAGTTTAAAGAATTGTAGCTGTAAACCAAGACATTGACTTAGCTGGGTGTTTCTGCTATGGGTAGCATTCATCCAGAGCATCTGCTTTTGATGACTGACTAAGGCTGCACAAAGATGGAAAAACAACTACATGTAGACAGAGAGACTGCGTTTAACCTAGAACCTACCAGGAAGAAGTGGAAAAAAAATCATTTTGGTGCCAGACTAATTTATAAACACCCTTTCCCCAGTAGAGATTATAAAATGAGAAAAAGCACAACTCTCACAGCATTAACCCTTTCCTTTTTAGATTTCTTTGCCACAGATACAACCCATTTTTCTGAAAGAAAGCAGGGTGAAATCCTTCTTGTTTTACTGCTTTTTACTGCCTGTGTTACCCTGGTAACCTACCTGGCAGTATATAGAATAGCAGTAAGAGGGAATATGCAGGATTTAAATGCTCTGTTTATAGGAAATTAAGTTGCAGACACTTTATCACATTATGGTACAAGTGAGTGTTCTAGGACTGGGTTGATTTACTGGAGAGTTGCCTTGGTGATAAATTGCTGTCATTGCTGTTTGCTCATACCTCACTTTTCATCTCAGCCTCTCCTCATTAAAGTATTTACTAATCACAATGAGAAAGCAAGTATAGAAAGCCCTTTTAAGAGCTTTCTCATTACTGATCACCTTTTTTTCAGAGGAGCTTAATTTATAAATCAGTGTTTAATATAGTACATCCCCTTTGTATCATGTAAGATTTGGGTCTTATCATTTTTGCTAAGCGTGCTTTGCTGTTTCAAATGCCACTTTGTTTGGCTTAGAAATGTCCATTTATGTTGTAGGCTTTGGGGATTTGAAGGAAGATGTTCCTTTTTTAAGCATATATATTTTTGAATATGCGCTTATAAACATTGTGCAGAGATGTGTGAATGTTGGGGAAACATTCTTCATGTTTGACCCATGTGTAAGAGTGAGATACTCCTGTTTCCCAAACAGGGCACCAAGTTACATATGTAATCTGGAATTTTATTTGTATACATCCATATGGTTTACTGTTCAGTACTGAATTTTAAAAATTT